GATAGTTCAAACATATATTTTCTTTTTTTTATATATTTCTTTTATTTTATTATATGCAAATATATTTTTTTTTTCATTTGAAGTTTTATTAATCGAAGCAAACTTAAAATATAAAACTGAACTAAAATATAAATTCTTCAAAAGAATAATGAATGATATGAATGATTAAATGAATGATAAAATTTTTATCTGATACACTTACTTTTTTCCTACTTATTTAATTTTCTTTAAGTTAGAAACAAAATGAACAAAATCTTTCTGCCTTGAATGATAAAATTAAAGAAAATTATATCATGAATATTTAATTTTAGATTTACTTTTTTAAAAAAGATTCAAGTGCAAAAAGTATTATTATTTTTTAACGAAACATTTTCCGCACTCTTATAGAGTTCTTTGTGTACAAAAATCAGATGAACGAATTATTTTAGAAACATTAATTTAATTTACAAATCGCATTTGAGACTTACAAGGATCTAATTATTGAACAATAGAGCTGCTCAAGCCAGGGGCTGAACTATATTACTGAGTCAATCAATTGTCATTATACCAATCAAACGTAGTTTGCAAAATTAAAGGAAGATCAAAACTATCAAAATATGGTAAAATTTACCCTGTTTCTGACTCTATGGGAGCATCAAAAAGCATGGAAAATTTCACTGAAGCGCTTTTGCAATGATAGTGGAAAAATTAACAATGAAATATTGTTTCATTATATATGAAAAAATTTGACAAATGCGGAAAAAATTTGGTATCATATGATATCTTAGAGCATTGCATAAAAATCATTTATTCGGCTATGTTTTATTTTCAGTTTTGTAGTTTTTTCTTAATGTATGGTAATAAGAACTAAAATTTTGAAAACCAGGATGATCGGTAAATCGTTACCATATAGAAGGGAAAAATTACGAAATGACTGATTTAAACGCAGTACATTCTGTTTACAAAATTACGTTTTTTTAACAAGAAATTTCATAACCATGTACTGCAGTAATTTTACCAGAATTGTTTTGTCCCTGTTTTTGATCATTTATATAGTGTTGTCGTCCATTTTTCAGCTAAAATACAGAAATATGACGTATATTAGCGTATATCCACCGTCAAGTTTCATTTTTCGACCATTTGTTTGTAAAGGTTTTGATACGTCAGTGCCGCACCATAGCTGTTGATGGCAAGCAAATTGAAGGCGTCATCAACTAAATCTGAATACCTGCGGCTTCCTTAAAATTTGATCACATTTTTTTATTTATTTAATTTTCTTTTAAATGCATTAATAATGATTGTCAACTTGAATTTTATTGCTGTGTTTTTACTATGCGTAGGAAGTGGAAATCTTGCTATCAAAATTACGACAGAAATGGCTAAATAACTAAGTCTATCTTGGAATAATTCACAGATATTTCGTGCTCCCAGGCAAAACAGAAATAGGATTTACTTGACTGCCCATGATTAGGTGTCACCATTGGCTACAGCTTCTCTACACAGCTCTAGACCACATTTCTTGGCCTGCAGATGATTGAAAAGAATGTGATTGGTGAGATGAGTCAGAGTTTTAATTGGGAAGGACTATTGGTAGGCTTCGAATGCGCGCAGTGAAGAAACCACGAAGCCATAGAGTCTAGTCACTCTTTTAAACTGGTGGTGGAATAAAAACTGTGTGAGCTGTTATCACATAGAACGGAAAGGGGATTTAGCATTGGTTTAATATGTTTAAGTTACTTAAAGGACACGTGAAACGTTCTCATGGACATCATGTATCTTACGGATATGAGATTCTCCAGGATTACAGTGTTATACTGTAAGAAATTTCAGAAACTAATTTTGACTCGATAAAAATTGTTTCCGAAAATCTCCGAGATTTATCTTTAATATCATGTTTCCGATTAATTTAATTTTTTTTTTCATTTTCAAAAGTAGGAACGGAATCGCATTGACGTCCGATTCAATTTCAGAATGTAGCTTAGCTACCACAACTATTAAATCCCAATTTAGCAGTATATAAGAGATGTTAACTCGATTCAATCTTGAGATGTTAACTCGATTCTATCTTTCCTTTTGATAGATGTCATTTGACGTTGTTGGTAGCCAAACCCTACAAGAGGTTTTGAAACATTAAGAAACGCTTCAAATTTAAAAAAAAAAATCCGAAATTTCAAGAAATGATTCAAAATATTTCTTAAGTATTGCGAAATGTTTCTGAACCTTATAGAAAGAGGTTTTCGAAACATTCATAAACGTTTTAGAAAACTACATGCACCCTATATGCCCAATATATTCAGAAACGTTTCGGGATTTTTTTAACAGCGTACGTGATATAAACTCTTTATAATTCTGCAATATGTAATTAAGAGTATTTAACGCAACAACAAAATTTGAAGAATAAGATTTTTGTTTTTGGTAAGAAATTCTGGGTAAAACATTTTAGACTTTAGATGCCAAGCAGCTATATTGTTAGTTACTTTTTAAGTTATTTATTTAAGTTTGAATCAATAAAACCTTATTTAGAAAACATAATAACAGATATATAAAAGACATTTTCTTTTTTTGTGGACTTTTTGTAAATCACTCCATTTAGTACGTCTTTATTTGTTAATATTTAAAATTTGTGAGAAATAATATATTTTTATATATGGCACTAAGAAAAAATTAAGTGAAGTTGGAAATGCAATATGAAGGGGGAAAATTAGAAAAAAGAATTTTTTCTTTGAATATAGAATGATTTGAATAAAAATGCATGAAATACGAGCAATTTGTAAAGGATATTTCTGCAAAAATAAAATATTTGAGTTAGTTTTGCGTTTTATCTTAACTATACAACAAAAGAAACTTTTAAGAAATATTGAAAGATCTGAAAGACACTGAGTAAAGAACAGTTATTTAATGAGAGAAAAGTTTTTTACATAGTTATTCTCAATGAATAAAGCTGCATTGAAATATTTGAATGAAGCAATAAATAATATGTTAATACAGATAAATCGAAAAAATAGTTTTATTTTAAAAATATATGTTTTTAAACAAGCACACACAGAAGTTGGTAAAAAATCAAATAAACTTTATTTCATAAAGTTCTTTTCTTCCTTACAAACTCTTTCTAACAACTCATTATTTTTAAGAAACCTTAGATTAAAAAAGTTTCTACGGGAATAAGTTAAATTTTTTTTTGATAAAGTAAATTCTAAAACAAAATTGTTCTAAGAATAGAATTCTAATAAAATGAAAGATTGCGAGGAAATGAGAAAGTATTTTCTTTTTTAGATAAAAAACCAAACCATAAAAGCCATCTTACAAAACTAATGTGTTTCTGAAAATGATAATGCAATAAATAATAAAAAACTGAAAATAAATATTTAAGCCAATTATCAATTTAAGTCTATTATTGATTTTGCTTAGTGCTTACTTTGTTAGAATTTTCATTCAAAAAATTTAGTAAAATAACCATCAGCAGTCTTTTTATCCAATTTTTATCACTGGCGTTGAAAGCCGACCCAATTCTGAGTTAAGCATTAATGTTCAACTCCATAGTCTTGTAATTTTAAACGTAACCCAGAAGACAAGGGATTCCCCGAATCAAGCATTGGAACAAACTGGCCTTCGGGACGAACTTTTTGATAGAACTAAACCACATTTGAGTTACACGGAGGGGAATACCACGAAAATCTCCCATGGTTAGTTCGATGGTCAAGAAATCGATTATATCCTCACTAAGATATGTCCTTTCTGAACCTGTGTCCAAAATTGCTCTAATAATTTTTTCGCGATTTCCATTTTTAACTTTTATCATAAAAGTCTGCAACAAAACATCTGAATGGGAAACCTGTCTGGTCATAACATTTACATTATTTTTTGGCTCCTCAATTATCGCGTCAGTGTTCTCCTTAGAGCTAGGTGAAATCTGAGGGCACATAACAGTTAAGTGTCGTTTACCACACAATATACACTTAACCTTTGATCTACAATTACGGGCAACATGATTTCGTTTCAGACAAACAAACCCCCCCCCTTTCTTAAGAACTAAATTTCTCTTATCCTCATATAATATCATATTATATTTAAAACATTTTTCACTTAAATGAGGTTTATCACAGAATACACACGTTTCTTCCATTTTTTTAATAAAACCCCTTTCTTTCGTTTTGTCCCCCATATATAAATCATGACAAGTAGGAACATTTGAATCTTCGAAAAAATTATTTTTATCAAATTTTTTAGTTTTATCAATGAGAAACGTGCAAACATTAATCTTTCTTCAGTTAACACCTCATTTTTTAAGAATAAAAGTATACATTCTAAATCAGTCTTAGCTTGATTATGGGTTGTCTTCTCCCGTTCCCTCTCCCATATCTTTAAGGTATCCTGGGGTAAACATGTTTCCACTAAGAGAAATAAAATACTGGCATATTTGTCTTGGGTAACACCCAACGATTCCAATGATCATAGTTTCGATTCAGGGTTATCATATAAAAATGATAACTTAAAATTCTTATTTCCACTAGCATTCGACAACACAATATTTAATAGATCGCGCACATACAGCTGTATCAAAATGTCTTCTCTTCCAAAACGGTTTTTTAAATGCTGAATAACTTTGGGATAATTCTCTTCAGTTGTGGGGAAACTTTGAACTATTTCTCGAGCTTTCAATTTTGGAGTTGTAGCTTGGATCAAGTAAACAAACTTCGAGTGTTTATCTATATTAGTATCTTTATGAATTTTCTTAAAAGTATTCCAGAAGTTAAGCCAATTCCGGGGATCTCCGTCGAATTCTATTAAATTTAATTTCGGCAGTTTAAAGGTAGTTGCCGCCATCGATGGTTGTTGTAATTCCATATTTCTTTCATTAGAAGTTGGTGAAATGCTGACATTTATACTGGCCGTTATGTTGTTTACTTTCGTTTTCAATGCTACGAATTTATCCGTATGGGCTTCACAACTGTCAAATTCTTTTGTATATTCCTCTTCTGATGCTTTATTTTCCAGTAGAAACTCTAAAATTTCCATATCGTCAGCTTTCAATCTGTTAAATTTTTCTTCTAGTTGTTCCGATAAAATAAGAATACTTTGAAGGTCAACGGTTTCTTTTTCTACTTCCTCAGTCAGGCTGTTAAATGTCTTTGTGAAAGCTGATCGCAATGGTGTTCTTTTCGTTTTTAAACGATCCATTTCTAACTAATATGATTTAATTCTGTTTATTTCTTTTCACTATCAAATGCGTCCCTGTTCGGGCGCCAGTTTTTGTCAGGAATTCGTTAACTTAAAATCCAATCTCTATTGGACGGCAATTGAAAGTAAAGAGTCGAACTCCAGAAGAGCAAAACAACTACTTTATTTTCTGCTCGAACAGCTGTTTTACAATTAAAGGGTGGGGTGGGGTTCTTGACAGCATGCTTGTTTCTTCGTAATATTTATATTTTGTTTTTTTTTCTTCTAAATTTGGTATCAAAAAAAAAAAATTAGCTTTTCTTTAAAATTTTAAGAATATACTTTATTATATTGATTTCTTCGATTTCGACTTCAATGAATTTAAACTGTTATTTAAATAAAATAATGTTGTTTTTTCTATTTTGGCTGTTTTATGATCAACTTATTATTTTATTTATTTAATTAAAGAAAATAGACCTAGTAGCATTAATTAACATTTAAAGGGGAAAAAAAGTAATTTTTTTTGCTGTGTTATTCTTTTTATCTTTATGTTAACAATATTTTTTTTATGAGAAATAAATATTTTAACTGTTCTCATATAATTTTCAGCTATCGTACAAGAGTGCTACTCCAAGGCGGAGACGAATTAACTTATGGTTACATAAGGAGCATTATAGTCCTATTACAACCATGACAGGGTATTATGCGTCCAATTTTTATTGTATAGGATGCGAGAAGGCTTATGATTACGAGGAAAATCACGCTTGCAAATATGTTTGCCCCGTTTGCCGAAAACTAGAGTGCCAACCTACACAAAACCCTAAAAGATGCAAGGACTGCGACCGATTGTGTAGATCTGAACAGTGTTATGATTGTTGTTACAAAGCGAAACAGAATAGGCAAAAATTTTCCATTTGCGATAAAGTAAGATTGATATTTTTTAATCTATTTCTTTACCTACAATCTTAACACTTCATTTATTTATTTATTTATTTTAGTTATACCAATACCCTCGTTGTTCCAAAGTAATTTTGAGGAAGAACACATGGGGAATTTTGCTGTAGCTCAAGATTTTCAGGGAAACGAGAAAGTTTTTAAAGATTACGCAGCTCTCCAAGAATTTTGTGCTTGGTTGTTCTCACCAGTCCACAAACAATATACAGCAATCGCCCATAATATGAAGGGGTAAGTTGTATGTCTATTAAGTCATCTATGCAAATTTCATCATTAATTTTTTAAAAATATTAAATTTATGAGTATTGCTTTTGATTTTAGGTTCGACGGTCAATTCATTACAGCATGGCTTTTAGAGCAAGGCACTACTCCTGACGTTATTCCTTGTGGCTCAAAAGTCATGAGCATCACTCATCCGAATTTGCGAATCACAATTATTGATTCATATAATTTTTTACCGATGGCCTTAGCAAAATTACCCTCTTGTTTTGCGATTCCTGAGATTAAGAAAGGTTTTTCCCCCCACTTATTCAACACGGTGGAAAACCAAAACTATGTAGGACCACTGCCCGACCGATCTTTTTGTTGCCCAGACACAATGTCTGTCAATAATCGAACTGAATTTTTAAAGTGGTATGATAAGCACAAGGAAGATGAATTTGATTTCAACAAGAAATGAAGGAATATTGCAGGTAATTATTATCTTTTTTAATTTCTTAAAGTACAACCGTATTATGAATTGGTGTTTAAAAATTTATTTCCTTCTTTTTAGTTCCGATGTAGACATATTAAGAAGATGTTGCAATGTATTCCGATCGGAGATGATACAAATTTCAGGGGTCGATCCTTTTCGGTAATCTCTTTTAATTTTCTAAATAAAAAATCGGAAAATGGTACTGCTTTTAAATAAAAATCTTAATTATGTTTTTTTTCTCCCAGTTATATTACAATTGCTTCGTCATGCATGGCTGTCTATAGAAGCAAACACGTTGTGGAAGGGCCTATTGCCATGGTTCCCGTGAATGGATATATCAATACAACCAATTTCAGTGCAGACACTGTTAGATGGTTGGATTTTGTAGCTCGTCAGGAGCACATCCAAATTCAACATGCTCTTACAGGATGTGGAGAAGTCAAAATCAATCATGTCAGTGTTGATGGGTTCTGTAGTGATACAAATACAATTTATCAATACCTTGTAAGTTTTATTCTTATATATATATATATATATATTTTAATTTTTGTCGAGCGTTTTACGTTATTATAATTTTTCAATGCTAGGGATGCTTCTACCATGGGTGTCTAGAGTGTTATGAAGGAGATGCTGTGCACCCTTTAAAGAAAATAACGATGCCAGCCCTAAGAAAAAATACAAGAGAGTTGACCGAAAAGTTGTGCTCTTCAGGCTACAGAGTTATTGAGATGTGGGAGCATCAGTTTCAAAAAATGAAGAAGGATTGTTCAGAGCTGAACGAATTCATTAAGAATCATGATGTGCAAGATAGACTGAAACCCAGAGATTCCTTCTTTGGCGGTAGGACTAATGCCATACGACTGTACTACGAAGGTGAAGCAAAATATGTCGACTTCACCTCGCTATACCCATGGGTAAGTAATTTTTTTTCAGGGTGAAATTCCTGAACAAATGTTATTCATATGTTATAAGTATTATGTTATTTGCTTAATATTATCGCCTCTTATTTTTCAGGTAAACAAATATTGTGACTACCCAGTTGGTCATCCGGAAATCATAACATGGGATTTTCAGGATGTAAATAATTACTTTGGGTTAATAAAATGCAAAGTCTTACCACCAAGAGGACTGTACTTACTTGTTCTGCCATACAGATCTAATCAGAAACTGATGTTCCCGCTATGTAGAAAGTGCACTGACAATCTGGCTCAAACAGTCTACCAGCACACAGATGAAGAACGCTCATTAATTGGAACCTGGGTATCCGAGGAGGTTAAACTTGCCATTAAGAAGGGATATAGAATCGTGAAGGTGGTTATTCAATTTTTTAATTCTTATGTTTTCAAATAATCATAAAAATATTATGTATGTATATTTATCTTTATTATTTCTTGCTTTTTTGATATACGAAGTGTATAACTTCAAGGAGAAATCCAACCGTCTCTTCCGTTCATATATCGATCTCTTCCTGAAGTTCAAACAAGAGAGTAGTGGCTGGCCAGCAAATTGTGTGAGTCCAGAAGATAAACTACAATACATTCAAGATTATAAAAACAGAGAAGGAATAGATTTGGACCCAACAAGAATTGAAAAAAATCCCGGTCGACGGGCAGTGTCCAAAGCATTTCTTAACAATTTTTGGGGAAGGTGAGTTTCTTTTTCTTTTCTTTAAAAGAATGTATAGTTGAAAGAATGTTTTGAATTGTTTTTTCTTTTGTGTTACAAAAAAAAATATTTTTTTAGAAGGGCAATGAACCTCTGCAAACCCCATTTAACATACGTAAATGATCTACCCAAATTTATTAAGATGCTGGCTGATTCTACGAAAAAGGTATCTTTTTTGTGTGTATTTAAGTAAAATATATGTTTAATTACAATATAATTTAACTCAAATATAATTTAAATTTTATTTTGCTTTAATTATAGGTTAAAGATATATATTTTCCAAGTTCCGAAGTTGCTGCAATACAGTGGGAAGCTGTGAAGGAATTTATCGACCAAGACACAACAACAAACGTATTTATAGCGTCTTTTACAACAGCATGGGCCAGATTAAAACTCTATGAAGAGATGAATAAACTTGGTGATTCCGTCCTATACCACGACACGGATTCCATTATTTATGCAAGCTCAGGAGATAATGACCCACCTTTTGGAAACTTCTTGGGCGAATTCACAGATGAGCTTGACGGCGATGTGATTACATCATTTGTTTCTGGTAAATACATTTTTAATTTCATATTTTTCAGTTATTAATATAATTACTTAGAAATTTAAAGAAGCATTGTCTTTTTTTTTTTTGCAGGCGGAGCAAGAAACTACGCTTATAGAACAGCGTCGGGCAAAACATGCTGTGAAGTTAGAGGTTTCTCTTTGAATTTTAGAAACTCTGAAATCCTGAATTTCGATTCAGTTAAACATCTTGTGCGCTCTTTAGACAGAGAAACCACAATACCTCTCTGCAATACTTCAAAAATTGTCCGCCGGCCAAAGAAGAGGAAGGTTGTGAACATGACGGAAACAAAGAAGTATCGTATGATTTACGACAAGAGGATTATTAACGAGGCTGATTACACAACTCTCCCTTATGCATTTGAAAGGATCAAAATGTCTAGTGGATGCGACCCACTCAAAAAAAAAAAAAAAGCGTNTCAAAAAAAAAAAGCGTGCCTAGTGGCGACGCCCACTTAAAAAACCGCGGAGTGCCATAGGGGAAGGGTCCTCGTCCCGCACTCTGGAAGGTTTCCTTGAGAGGGACTTACGGATGTCTCCTTGTTTGTATTGTGCGTGTGTGAATGAAAAAAGAATTTAATGAAAGTAGAAAAAATACAAGTTTATATTTTAAAATCATTTATTAACACGGCTAATGGTTTACAGAATATTTTAGTATTTTAGCCATCTGTTTTTTCTAGCAAACAAGATTGGTGCTGCAGAAGGTGATATAGATAACAGTTTTTTATTAATGACAAATTCTTCGGGGTTTTTCATTTTTTTTAAAGCTTCGAAGAATACTTTTTGTCCCTTGGGCTGATTCTTTTCATTTCTCATTACTCTATTTATCAGATGAAGAATATTGGTTCCAGGTAAGAGTTTATGTTTATACATAATTTCACCTTTTTCAGTCCACGATAACAGTTTTTTATGAGTTTGTAGGAATTGTAAAAACTCTTTCGCTCGTTCCTTTTGACCCTTAGGTACAATATTCATGAGCTGCCTTTCTATTAAATGGCTCGAAGCATTTTCTTCATCTTCTTTAATTTCTTTAGTCTTTTCGTCCACTTCTTCAGATTTTTCTTCCACTTTATTTGAGAGCTCATCCACTGGTTCGTTTTTATTCTCCATAAAAGTTGGAAATTTAACATACTTTTGGAGAATTTGTAAATATAAATCTGCTTTTTCATTTTCAGTAATATTTTTGTTTTTTAAAATATCATGCATTTGCTTGTCCAATTCAGATAGATATTCGACAGTATTATTTTGTAACCTATCTTCCGGTACAAGAATAAATTTTTTAGCGTGATCCATTGATTAAAGATGTTAAAGCTGCAATGGCTGCTGGTATCAGAAATCCTAAAAATCCGTCACCTCGTTGAACAAGAACTTTTCTCTTGCGGTATAAAGGTACTTTTTTGTCTGCAATTTTTCGTAAACTTCTTTTAAAGGGTGAAAGTTTTTTCTTTTGACTTTTATTAAGAGGAATATTACCTTTTAACAAATTAAGCACGCATTCTCAAATATGTTGAATAGATTTAGATGGACAATGTTTAAAAAGTGCCGCTTCGATTTGGATTCAGCCACAGCTTTAAGACCTCGAGACAACAGTGCTTACTGTCCGACATTCTAATCGCATTTGATTGTTTCAAACGTTGTGAGATTTAATTTATACTTCAGGAAACGACCAAATGATTCAGCTTTGATAATGGCACAATGATTTCTATCCAAGTGTTTAAAATTACAGTTAACGTGAAAAGGAGCCAAATCATTGATTTTTGACACCCTATATTTTCTAAATTAATGCAAGAGGTAAAGTGCAGAATAAATTTTGTTTTTCCAACTCCTTTTATATAAATAATTTCATACTTCTGAAATATCTCTTCTAAAATGTAATATAACGTACTATATGACATTTCATTTAAACACCAATCATATCCATGTGTATTATTTTTGATCCAAAAATATTGCCGTACTTCGTTAGGTTTATAAACTTAAAAGGTGATTGAAATGTCCAATGACTCAAAGATTCAGACTTTATATAAAAAAAATAGCAAGTTCTTTTATAATCATTCGATTTTGACTAAATAAAAATTCTTCGAAATCTAAAACGATACATCTTCACGGAGGTTAATGAACAAATGATTAACGAGGCTGGTACACAATCATTTTATCAGTCGGAGTTATACCTGTGCGCAGGCGCATATTATTGTTAGTATCCGGTTTTAAATCAACTAATAAATACCCATAAGGCTTTGAAGTTGCATCCTGATACACTTCTTGAAAAAACTTTACTTTTGCTGGATAGAGTTGTCTCCCCAAATGAGTGATTTGACTTTGATCTCTGAGATTTTTGAAAAGAATAAGATAATGAGAATTTAACGAAATTTCTCTCATTTCTCTTCCTTTATGAAAAATGTTCTGCACAGTAAAAATGACGGAGACATTACGGTGATGACTATTTCGTAAATAATTGAGTTAATTTGGAATTGCTTCCTAATTCAGACATAAGATCATCTAGAATAATGAGTGCATTTGAAATATTATTTAAATTGGAGGGAACGCCCTCGTGAAATGTCACATTCGGTATGGTTTCAAACATGGATTGATAAGCTCCATAACTCCAAATTACCGTTTGCGGAAAAGGTTTTATAATCTTAGATTCAATTATTCTTTTAACTAGCCGACTTTTACCACAGCCTGTTGGACCGGCCAGCATAGAAGTAAATGTTCTTTTTAGCATTGGAAACTCCATTGTTATTTAAGAAAAATCAAACAGGAATATTAATTAAAAATAAATAATATTAAAAAAACGGTATGTAAAGAAAAACACAAACTTTTTAAAAATATAAATAATTTTATTGTTTGAAAGCAAAACGAACACCAAATTTCTTTTTGACAAATTGATACACAACAAAATCATTTTTTCTGTTTACATTAAGATGTCTTATAATGGATTACATAGAGTGATCGCGACAATGCTTATAAATGAAAACAATACAATAGGCTCCACATACATTCGAAGTGAGAGATTGAAAAGAGATAGCATTCCAACATGCATAAGAAATGTAAAATAATTTATATACATCAAGTCCGAAAAAATCAGGCGAATGTCCATAGGAGTCGAAAAATTCCAGTATTTTTCTTTCACCCATGTATAGAGCTAACCAATGAGATCCTGGTCGAGTGGATTCATCCGTGTTGACGATAATAGCTTCATTTTCTTGCAATAAGGGTATCGCGTCTCTTGAACCTTTAAATCTGAATGCTGTAGCGGGATCTTTTGATAAAATGTCATAAATCTTTCTTCCATCCATTCTTTTTTAATTTCCAAAGTCGTATATTATGTCTCTTGATTTGTTTATTTCTATAATGTTTTCAAATTCGGCAAACACAATGACACACACTGTTTTGTCTAACGGTTTCTCAAATTTCATTTCCACTCTTAAATTACCGTGTTTTATTAGATTAAAATGCTCGCCGTCACATAAATCCGGTGATAAATCAAATGCATACAAAGTATAACTCTCACAAAATTCTTCTCTCGAAATAAAGTTACCTTTGTCACTTCTCATGTGTTCAGTGCTCATAAATAAATTTTGATAAGCTCTGATATACTGTTTTTGTGGAAAGTTGAGTTCTAGTTGATTATGAGGGACTGGTTGTCCATCTACGTAGACTGCGATGAAATTTAAATTAAAGTGTTTAAAATCGTATGGGTTTTTCTCAAATGTTCCGTGAAATGCATCATTTTCGTCACACCCTATGATGAATCGTTTAGGAATTTGCCCCACAAGCACATTGTCTTGCACAAATGACATATTTCCTTTCGGAATGGAGTATACTTTACAAAGGACTCGGTTGATAGGATATTTTGCAGTATCTTTTTCTAAAGCTTTTGCATGTCCTAGAATAACTCCGGAGCTCACGCGTACTTTTCTTATTAAAAGGGAAATTCTATCTAATATAACTTTATAACCTGTTTTTCCAATCAAACAAAACTCTGGTTTACTGCGACTCAGTTTAATTTTTATGTCCACCATGTTTAATAATAACCTATTTTGGTGACGTAGATCACTATGAATACATCCAATCATATCCACACTTGAACTTAGTTTGAAGTATTCAGATCTTTTTTTAAGTCCATCGTTAGTATCCTTATAGTAAAGCTCTGCAGTCAATTGTGAAGTTTTGCTATCATATCCATGGTTTAAAAGCGTTTCAATATAGGCTCTATAAGGATAAGTGTTGCTCGAATTCAATATAATGCGGTCGTTTAATGATACATCCACTTGAGAAAACAAGGAGCGCAAAAATAAATTAACTGGGCCAATGGTATCATCCGCTGCCGTCAAATTGGTATTATCGTCTTTTAAAATTTTTGCTTGCACATGAAGTTGAGTCTGACTTAAATCAATAAATTCATCACCTGACTCAGAAATGTGAAATTCGACGGGGCCGTCATCAAACACATTCGATAACGGGTGAAATTCAACCCACTGTTCGCTTTGAATAACTGTCTGTGTGCCAGGCATCTGAAACAATTCCAATTCAGATTTCACACATTCCGGGGAACCTTTTAAATCAAACGTCATGATGAGTCGAAAATATCACGACCTCTGGCTTTCTGTTTCTTTGATGAAATGATCTCTTTCTTAGACTTGCGCTTTCTTTTATACCGTCCGCTACCCACCATGGACTGTATTTTTCCAAGTGCCTTATAGCCTGGATTTTTTCCCGATTCTTTTGCTCTTTTTTCAGCTGATGTTTTCAAATCCTCACCTGCTAAAACATCTGACATAACATAACACGTGATCCGGTGGCTAACGCTTCTTTTCCAACTTTTTTGGATCCTCGAACAATGTACAATAACGCGGCTCTAAATAGTCGTCTAAATATACCGCCCAGACCATAGCCTTTCTGATAGGATATACCACGATAATATGGCAAACCATTTCCCGATTGAGAGGAATAATGGTCTTCCAATTTCTTGGAGCAGCAAATATAAGGTACTTTCATCTTGACAGTTAAACTTGAAATGAAATATTTTTGAAAAAAGTTTGGGTATTTATAGAAATTGCCGCATTTGAAAATGCAATACGACCATCACTTTACCGCTTTCAAATGGAACAAAAGCACCTGAATTCAGTCTAAGTTCAACTTGAATTGTTTGAAATGAATGTCTCATTAAGGGTAAGTATTGAGGTCGATCATAATACTGACTGATTGTTTCTCCATCTTGTCCTTTGATTCGTACGATTCGCAATAAAAGAGCTTGGGTATCACCCACTATTTGAGGTGAAATAAGATCCGTGTAAACGTAGAAAACCGAAAATGTGGACCATGCATCAGCAACAAATTCACTTTTCATATTACCGTTGATAGTTGTATCAGAACGGAAACCTAACAATTCCTCTAACTTCTCTAAATGAAGACTGCAACCTTGAACTGCATCAATTTTAACTCGTTTATTGTAACTTATTGTAAACCGACTGGGATTTTTAGGCAAAGCAAGTTGTATCGCTGAAACAATATCAAATATGGATTCATAACCTCCCACATCAATTGTTTGCTAAACAGTCGAAACGATATTCCCATTACTAATCTTGTAATGAAAATAATTGCTAGTTTCATTGGCGTTCAGCCAAGAATGGGGATATATGATTTCAGAGAGTCCCACTTCCCATTCACCTTTTAAATCCCCTGGTATAGGTAATTTAGTTTTGAAATGAGAGATTTTGCTATCAGGAAAAAAACGCATCGATTTATCGGAAGGTAACCTCACGTAGAAAGACATTTTTTAAAATGAACCTTTTAAGCAATGTGTAAGAAACAACTTTTAAAAGAAAAACAAATCAATACTATCCGAATAACCGAGAAACTTAACAAAATATTGCATCTTCTCATTCATTTTTTTCTTCTTAATGACTTTTTCAACTGGATAAAAACCAGAATTAACAACTTTTTGTAATTCTTCGGCATATAAAGTACCTTCGATTAGCTCATTCATTAAATCTTTTAATTTATACACTGTGGGATTTCACGTGATTATTTTATCTATGACGAATAATTCACGTGTCCAATTATTTTCATAACCTTTCTCAAATGTAAGTTTTGATTTACTAATACGAACTATGTCACCTATTTGAAAAACAGGTTTTTCATTATTTATCATATCCTTATATAAAGTATTCCATACTTGTTTCTGATTATCGATATTCACCGAAGTAGGTTCCATTTTTGTACTTCGATGTTTAGTATGATTATAACTATGAGCTAACTTTGAAATAACATTGATATATTTCTTTGTGTTAAATTCTGTAAAGTATTTTCACATCTTAGTTTTTAAAGTGCGATTAAATCTCACCACGATACTTGCTTTCGTTTCATTATTTGTAGTAAATGAAATAACTCCTATCTTTTTAAGATATTGTTGCACAATCTTATTTGTAAATTCAGTACCCTTGTCTGCCTGTAAATTTTCTGGTTTTCTTTCTTCAAATATAGTTTTTAAAGCAGACAATATATTTTTGGCTGATTTGTCTTTCACAGGCACAGCCCAAGCAAATTTAGAGAAACAATCTATACACGAAAACAAATATTTATATCCATTATTAAATTTTGCTAATGATTGCAAATCGACCAAATCGATTTGAAATTGTTCAACTATACCACCAATAATCCCTCTATTTCGCTTAAATTTATGTTTAACCGGTTTATGCAACGTATAAGAATCTTTAGTTTCTAACCATTTCTTAATGTCATTCTTCTTCACTCTACCTTTCACGGCATTATAAATTGCATCAACACCACCAAAACTTTCTGGGTGTTCAGGTTTCTTATAAACAGATGAAAGAAAACTATCCATAACAAAATTCTATCAATGAGAAAAATTTTTCCTGTAAAGTTAATTTAGTAAAGAATTAAAATTTAAATCTGTTGGTATGAAATAAAATACCACAAAAATTAATATTATTTCTTTTTTTAAATAACTAACAGCATGCAATATTTTTTAACAATAAAACTGTCTCTCTCTGAAAAGAAAATGTCTCCCTGAAAGAAAGAAAATTCTTGCCTGCTGAAAAAGAAAATTTCAGAATCCTCTGAAAAATGAAAAGTCAGCCAGGAAAGAAAAACGAAAAATGTTTAACAAACTAATTACATTTATTCAAACAAATATATTTAAATAATTAAAGAAAAATTAAAAATCATAACTACAAAAATCCTTCCTTGCAGTAGCAATGCGTTCATCCAATCGAATATTTTTTAAATAGTTCTCACTTAAAAAGTCAATTAATGGTTCTTGATCTGGGAACAACTTGTGATTATCAACAAGTTCTAGTTCAAAGTCTCTGGCTAATGCCACAACATTGAGATACATACAAGACTCATTAAAGTCTCTGATGGAGACTAAGTCAGAGATTTCAATCTCTTCGTCGCAAATTCGCATAGGTATTCTAAGACCTTTCTTTTCACCTATGTGTTTGTATAACACTATGGCAAAAGCAACGATTCATATCACCCTCTGGTTCTTCATAGCGGGCACTGTTGGGTTTCTCCATTGGTAATATACGTTTTGACACCATTTTAAAAGTTTTTAAAAAGTCTCTGTGCTTGTACTTCAAGGTAATGTAACTGGAGATCACATTATCGTAAACTCTACGGATGGAGAGCCATTGGGAGTAGGTGATATCCAAGGGCCATTTATAAACTCGTCCACTACGACATGTAGTCTCACGTGTCAAAGATATCTTTCCATCTTCTGCCATGAGGAGGTAAAATTCTCTTTTGTTGTCTGGATTAACTGCCTCTAATCGCATGTTGATATCACAAATGTCGAATATTGAAGTGGGCGCATCATTAGAAAAACAAACATTGAATTGATCCGGCTGTAGCGTCAACCCAACAGTCGATGGGTAGTAATTATCTCCATATCTGTTGAATTTCCTTATGTGTATAGCAGCTTTAGTTTGGTACAAACTTGCTAAAATGAAGTAATTTTCTCCGATAGGGTAAAAGTGCTCAGCTCTCGAGCACATCCTAAAATATAAAAAATAAATATTTTGAGTCACCAAGAAAAAACATTATTAATGATTGAACATTATTTTAAAAAACTATTTCTAAGTAATATGAATATCTAAAATAAAGTTTAAGAGTAAAAATATATGATTAAGTTTACAAATGGGTAAATTAAGAAATAAGTAGTTAAAGAATTTAAAATTATGTTTAGGCTGAAAATCTACTAACATTAAATAAATAAATTATTATTTCACATAAACAGTCATAAAATAAGAGTGAAGAAAGTAATAAGTACTTACTTGAATTTCAATGTGTTTTCTTTTTAATGAAGAATTGGCTTCCATAACTGAAACAAACTTAAGAAATAAACTTTCACAAGGCACCAACACACACCAGAGCAAAGGAACTTGTGATAAACGGTGGGAGGAGAAGCTCAAAGTCCTCTCTAATCGTTGCCGAACTCAAAAAGTAACTCTAGAAGCCAATGAGAAAAATATTAAACAGTCACGTAGATTAACAACTCATCATTATAAGTAAAGGGAACTGAATTCAGCATACATACGTCACAGACCAAGACCTATCTTGCTATATCTTGTCAGAATGACTCACTGCCATCTATCAACAGTAGTTGTGACGTCACACGAAACCTAGTCATGCAGGATTGGTATCGTTGCTACCACGAAAAACAAAAAACAAAATTGAAATACCCCCACCCCTACTATAGTACAGCAACCGGGCAGAAATAAGCTCTCATAAGTGTTGCCACCGCAAGAACTAATATTAAAATTATTATGTTTGCCACCCTCAAAAAAGTAATAAATGGAAATAATATTTAAAAAACGAAACTAAATTAAAAAACAGAAACCGAAACTAACACTACGGGAGGGCAGAAATAAGCAACATCCGGTTAATAGGTGGACAGAAATAAGCAATTTCCGGTTTGGCAGAAATACACAATTTCCAGTTGGGGCAGAAATAAGCTCTGGTTGACTTTGGGTGATGACGTCACCTCCGTCTCACGTACATCGGTTACTACTACTGTTGTTCCTTCATTTTTTTTTCAATTTAGGCAATATTATTATTTTTCAAAAAAAAAAAATAATAATAATAATAACACGCTTTTCAGGTTTATAAAAGGTTAGCAATTGGAGATTTTTGCAATTTATAAACAGAATTCCTTTCAAATTGTATCGTAAAAATAATGATGAAAGTAAAGTTAGTAATAAAAGCAAAAACACCATAAGTCTTAATTTATATAAGCGCCCTATTTTTACGAAGTCAATTAAAAGCTTTCAGATGATTAGCTTGGACAGCGTGTACTCGATCTGTTATCAGTCTTCTTTCGCGTTTCTCGGATGTTTTCTGAAGAGCAAACTTGGGAAGTGTGTAATAGATCGGTTATCATTCTTCTTTCCCATTTCTCGGATGTTTCTGAAGAACGAACTGGAAGCGTGTCCTCGATCGGTTATCTGTCTTCTTTCTCGTTTCGCGAATCTTTCCGGCCTTAGGCAGTGTGTAATCGATCGAGTTGCTCTTTGTGCGTCGATGGACTAATAGCGTTTTGTTTAGGCGTCAT